ATAGTTACTTATATAGTTACTTATATAGTTATAGCAGCTACCTATTACCTAGCTAAAAAAGGTAATATAGTCTAGTAATCTTTTCTTTAGTATAAGATTAGTACTAATCTAGATAGGAGTAATATTAATAAGATTTAGATTAAGGATATACTAAATAAAAAGATATTATAAGATAGATAGGATAACTTTAACTATAACGCTTATATAAAAAAGATACCTAACGTTAATACAAATAATAACTACTAAAAGTATATATCTCTAGCTAAAGACGTCCAGCAAGCTATTAGAGGCAGTTTAACAAGGCCATAGGAAATCTAGCAAGATGTAGAAGGATAAGAGGAAATCCAATACCAATTCAAAGTCTGTTTGCTAGCCCTTACCACCTAATTTGCTTCTAACGTACATAACTAACCCCTGCTTTTACCACTTCCAGATCCCTGCTTCTGCCAGCCCACCATGCCCCTTACGTTAGCCGCAATACCACTTGCCGTTAGCCCAAATACTAGCGGTATGTCAGTTTAGCCAGAGGATACGGTACGGGGGTTTCCAGGCCGCGACGACTGTTTCGCCGCAGCCATCCCTACCACTACGTTAGTTAGTATGTACAGGCACAAGCGGCGGGTTGATATCTCTTGCGTGCGCGCGTGCAGGCGCACCTGGTCTTCCCCGGATTGGCCAAACTGAGACTCAGCACATCGCCCAACGAGCCTCATTCCTCGACATGATGGGCCAAGGGAAAAAGCAAGGGGCCAGCCAAGCGGGTGCTCGATCCGCGACATGGTCTCAAGAGTCTCCCCCTCCTCCAAGGAATACCATGTGGTTTCAGCAATAGCAGAATCAGGTGGGAGGGGGGGACAGGACCATCGCCGCCGCCCTGTGTCGTTCCGAGGGGGCGGGACGGAGATGGGAGCATGGTGGTGTGCAGATTTGATGCGCGATTGTCGGTGAGTTTTGGATTGGGGGCAGGGTCACATCGGTAGTGATCCTTGCTGCCCCGGACTGAACAAGCGAGCGAAGATGTTATCGACATGGAAAGTGTGAGGCCTTTCTTTTTTTTTGTCTTTTTTTTTTTCTGTGCTTGGCAAAAGGACCGTACACAAACCAGAGAGGCATGCTGGCGATCCGTCTTGCTGGAAGAGGAGGCACCGCCAACCTGGCCTGTCTGTCCGCCTACCCTGGGAAACGCACTGCCCGCATTGGGGAAGGAGCAACCAGAAGGTGATTCGACATACACCCCTCCCCACTGTTTTCTTCTTCGAAAGGGAAGCACAGACGCGCTTTTCCGCTTTAGGAACCCATGCTGCATGCCACGCTTCATCATCCCTGTCCTTAATCAATCGATGCAGGGTCTTCGCCTCTCATTGGCCGCCTTGACTGCGCCGTTATCGTCGGGAGCTGATTGGTCTGTTGACCCCTGTCATCGACGCGATACTGCCTCAGGCGTACAATCCGGGGGGGCGTGCTGGGTAGAGCGCGCCGATGCCGGGTCTGGCAAAGCGCGTCGCGGCTGGCAAGCGCCCGGCGGACTGGCGGGCTGGACCTGCTTTGCTGACGACCGCCGTTGGCTGGCTGTATGCAAGGCGTTCAGCATGTGACGTCGCTGTCGGTCATTCCTTCGTCGGCCATGCTCACCGCCTAGTGACATATCGTACGAATACATGCTAAACGTCGTTGTTCCGCGCCCGACTATCATATCTCTAATAGCGAATCGTCCGGCTGGGGGCCATCACACCAACATTTCTTTTCTTTTTTTGCGATAGACACCTTATCCCGCCCAGGGGAGGGGGCTTATGGTTGCCGTCCTTGAGGCGTCGAAAGCGTTATCGCAAAAAAAGGGGGGACGGGCATTGCAGGCTCAAAGTATCCGTACACGCTAGTGTGCCGGAAAGTCCATCCGTTGCCCCCGGGGGAAGGTTCTCCGGATGGATTGAGGCATAGGAAACGTTGCTCATCTGAGGATGCGATACACAATCGTGGAAGAGCCAACAACCACGACGGCTACGGCATGATGCCCATCGTATGCCTTAAAGTTTGATAAGCGGCGGCCGTGAGTCTCGGTTGTCATTCGCCGTCGATCCGTGCAACGAGCGAGCAACCCCCCCTATCTCACCCCTTAACCTATCTGACCTGCCTGCCTTGCTTGCCTACGCGTCTCCGGGCGATCTTCCTGCCCAGCCCGTCTCACCCATACAAGCACCTTGTCCGTTCGCGCCATCTGATCGATCCCCTTCCTCCCAGCGTCTGTTCTGTGGGCAAGTCAAGGGGGATTTTCGCGATCGCCGGCGCGAGAGAATTAAAGGGATGCGGCGGCGTCCGCGTGAGACGGGAGAGCGTACCCGAAAGGATGAAAAAATAACCTACCCCAAAGCCCCTTCCCCGCGTAGTCGTGGACCATTTCCAAAAGGAGCGCTCCCCTTGGCTGGCCGGCACACTACACGTGTGCCCCGACACCGGTCGCGCCAGCCGAGAGAGACTGTGTGTGTGTGTGTGTGTGTGTGTCTGTGTGTGCAGGCGAGCGAGCAAGATCTCCCTGTCCCGTCGCATCCTGCCACGGGAGAGGAGCCTGGCTTCCGAGCTGCGCCATGACGTATCCGGAAGGCTGCTCGTCTTCCGCTCTAGGAAGGCTGACACGGGATCGCTCAATTCATCGAGATCAAGCCATTGGGATCCCTCTTCTTCTCGTTCCCAATCCGCCTTTTCCGTCCCCCCTCACCCGTCTCGGCGCCGTGCCGGCCCCTTACTGACTCAGGATGCTGTAGCGTTGACGACAGTCGCCCGTCCGTTCGTGATGGGTTTGTGAGGTCTGTGATATCTGACGCCCGTCGTAGCCAAACATGACGTCGCCGCCGTGATTGTCGCTCCCGGACGGAGGATTGTCGTTTCCCAATTTCCCAGTTTCCGGGGGACCCGGGGGGCCCGAAAATCTGGTAACGAGGGAGGAGGGGACGCCTTGAAGGACCTAACTATAGGGAGGATGTTTGTGAACTGTTGGGGGGGGTAGCCGACGGAAACCCCGTTGCTGCTATTCCCATGTCTTGCCATGACTCGCAGGTGTTTACTTTAATAGACTGGCTCGTCTGAGACGACCGAACTCTAATCTGATTGCCAAACCGGTGCATTGGGAGTAGTTACATTGCGATGTTCATACTCATCGAATGGTCGACCAAGGTACGATAGCAAGCCGAGGGAACCCTGATTAAGCTGCGTTACAATCCGACGACTTCGTATCGCGGCCAAGCCGTCTCGCAACGCTGCGAGCTCTTGCCATTGAGGTCGAAGTCCGGATGGATTAGGTAGGTAATATGAACCAGAGATAAGCAAAAAAGTATGAATTGTGTCTACTACGAAGCACTGTTTGACATATAGCGTCCAAGTCAGACGATGATCTATCCGAGCACCGCCCTGACGCAGTTGTGTTCGACTCGTACAAATGAAATCAGGGGTGAACAATCGGTTACTGTCAATTAGAGACGTTGCAATGGAACTCGAACCTCAAATGAAAACTGCCACTGAGCCTGACGCCTCCGATGTGACTTGAGGGGATTCGACACGCCCTCTATGACCTCTACCGACGTCTTCATGCCAACTTCGGTCATCCCCGGCGAGTTAATGCGACTGTTGCTCGTGACCCTAACCCTCGGCATCCCCTCTCCCTCAGGGGTGGATGTGATGGCCAGCCGCTCCGTAACGGCACCCGGTTCAAGCCAGTGCAGTCTCAAGACCGTCTTCCCTCCGTTAAAGGTAAACGCCGGACGGGTATCAAGGCTAGAATACCCGACGCCGGAGCCCAGGTATGCCGCTTGATGATGTCTGTGAGACCGAGGAATCTGCCTCATACATGACGACGCGCTGATCGTGTATTCCCCGGAGGAAAGTTTCCACAGTGGTTGCGGTCCCGCCTGGTGACGGGGGAGGGGAACGGTGTTGAAGCACGGTCCTACGATGTCGTGAACTTTCTGGATATTGGCGTTGAGGCCTGCGATAAGCCGGCCAAAGACCACTTCTTGGTGTTTTGTCAGGAGAGAGAGTACTGCGACCCAAGGGGAAGTAGTGAAGGGATGCTAGTGTCAGCCCGGCCGAGAGCCAAGATGTGCTAATCACACGGCCGGTTTCGATCTTTGATGTTTTGCCGCTCGTTGATCCTTTAGAGCGGAGGGTCTCAAGCCATGGAGGGGGGTTGCGCCAACATGCAATACTTGGAGACTCTTTCATGCGGCTATGGAAAAGGTAGATAGAAAAGCCAACAGCCGTGGCCAGTGGGCGGTTCCGGTAAGCATCGACCAGCCGCCGTGGACGTTGACGACGTCGAAGCCAGGGTGGGCTGTATGAGACCGACCTGCCATCATATGCCATCCAGGGGGTGAACAAGACTAAGAGAATGGGTAGATGGCGTATAAGCAGCTGGCAACCTCGCTGGAGCGCGTCAGCGTCCACCTTGGTCCCCAAGTCGAGGAAGAGTCAGTTAAGTATTTGCCCTGGGATGCAAACGGCACAATCTAGGACCTCCTGCTGGAAAATAGTAACAGAAAGGTTTCGTGACAGGTGGCCTGATACCCAAGCCACTGAGGCGATTCCGGTCCAGATACAAGTTGCCATCGGGCTCGAAGAAATCAAGATCGTAGACTGTGTTAGACTGCAGCAGTCTCTGCGGGAAGAGGCTCGTCGCGACGATCCTAGCTATTCGAGCTAGCGATGGATACCTGACGGCCGTCTCCGTCATCTAGATTCGAGTATTACTCCGAAACAGGCACGACTTGCGCCCCGATTTGTGCGAACAACCGGCTACGTCGGTCAGAGACCTGTGACGGACTCAGGTGAACGAACGCAATGTATGGAATTCTGTTTCTCGGCGCCTGGCCCAAAAACTCAACAAGGTGGGATCACTCATTCCTCCGCCGTCCTGCTGCTGTTTCACAGGCCTTTAAACATGCTTCATTCTTCCTCTTTAAGCACACGCGGTTTGCCCTTCTCGGCCAGGCGCTCCTTGTCACTAAAGGAGATCAGCTGTACCCATCAAACTCGCGCCGGATGATGTCTTGCATCGCAATGTCGGTAGCCTGGTCGACGCTGGAAGAAACCTCATCGAGCAGGAGGATGCCGCCGTTGGTTCCGTTGCGGCTCTTCACACACTGGCGCAAGACGGCGCGAACAAGGCACAACAATTGCTTTCGTCCTTGACTGAGCGACTCTGCAGTGAAATTGGCATCGATTCCGCCTCGCTCTTGTACTCCGGCACGCAATCCAACTTGCTCCAGGACACTCAGACACTCAGCTTCATCGGCCACTCTGAAGGGGTAAAGATTTTCGCGCACGGTAGACCCGTCCGGGAGAAACACGGCGTCTTGCGATGCAGCTATGATACGGCGCCGCAAGGTGTAACGATCGATCCGGTTGGCAGGCATGGAGTCTATCACAATGCCGCTGGCACTTCCAGGTCGAACAGGGTTCCAATGCTTACTAGAGTGGGCCTTTTGATTCGAGGTCCAATATACGCAGCTGCCTCGACGTTCAGAGGTAGAACATCTGCACAAAGTATAGGACTGCAATGAGGAAAGGGTAGCTGCTGGCCAGCCACGGCGAAGAGACAGCAATAATGGCGGCCATGCCTGTGGCGGAGAAGCACAATACCGAGAGGTTGGCCAAGGCAATTGGCAGCTCGCTATCTACGAGAGCAATGTCTTGGGCAAAAAGGTTGGTCACCAGCCCTGCATCCGTGATGTCGAATAATTGCGCCGATGAGGGTTCGCAGCGCCTCCAGGTACAATGACCGTGCAAGTGCAATCCGCTGTCTCCGACAGCCGCTCGGGATCAGACCATTGGTGTTTCACCCCTAATATATCGCCGGAGTTGGCTGGCGTTTATTAAAGGAGACCCTTCAACAGGGCCGACTTCCCAGAAGCCACAGAGCCCCCAATGATGGAAAGTGCGTGGGTTGAGTTGGTGATATCAACGACTTCCAGGACGGCCTTCCCCTCCACTCAGCCGAAGGAGGCTTGCTTCTTTGTAATGGCAGTATTATCTCGGCTCCAGTCTACGGCATCAGCTTTCTTTCCCGAGAGTCGCGGAGGGCCAGGCGTTTGGCGGAAGTGGACTCGGGCTTCTTTATGAAGATAGCCCTGGATGCGACCTACACAAGTGAATGCAGAGATCAGTGGCGGGACAGACTGGAAGAGATATCCGAGCGGTGCAGCCAGGGGCATAAGATAAGCCATTGAAGTGAAGATGCGAGTGACATCGAGGGTCTGGGAGGTGACGGCGGTGAGGAGCAGTAAGCGCCACTTGCAACCCACGCTTATCTCCTTTAGTCGCAGGATCTTGGTTGAATTTTTATCGGGCCAGACATGGCCGACATCTTGAGATCCTTCATGTTTGAGACTGCTTTCGATGTAACTCCCACACGTTGCTGTAGCGAATCCATCCAGACTGTTTGGCGCTCCCGGTGAGCTTGGCGTTGACCGAGGAGGCTGTCGTGCAAAAGATGACAACGATGAGGGGTGCTACAAAGGCCGCCTCGATTTGCCGTTGTAGCAACTAGCACGCATCGCGCGAAGGAGGCACAACTGCATAAGCTAAGACGGGGTCGGGTGGATTGATCGTAGGCTGGCGTTCTGGACGGAGACACGACGGAAACCGCTTTGTTTATAATATATCCGTAGATGGACCCTGTGTGGCACAGCAACAATCCGGACCAATAGGTTTCATTGCATGCCACGTACAAGATAATCCTATTTTCCATGGCCTCTTGGGTACGATTCCCTCGGGCCTGATAGTGAAAGAGGGTTGCCGGTAAGCAGGGTGCTTACGTTGACTAGGCCGCACTCGCAATTGTTGGGTCTAAGATGGACTAAAATTCTTAGTATCTGGGTGAGAGACGACCGATTTGACACGGGGGTTCTCGAAGTCGATAAGATCATGGAAGTGAAGTAATTAGAGCTGGAAAGCGACCCCCCTTGGAGACGCCATGCGCCTTGGCATCGTGGCTGCTAGTTTGGATAGACATAGTCGCCATCATCGCTGGAGCAGTCAAGTTTGTGTAAGCAATTGGGAAGATCAATAGCTAGGGTCTCCTGCCTGAAGGATTGGATGGGTGGTCACATGTAAAGCGACACATGATGCTGCACGTGATACTTGGACGAGACCGATCACGGTTGAAAAAGTAAGGTTCGCACTGACGATTCGTAGCTGCCTTTCGGCTGTGGAAACGTCCCCAAAATGTCCAATCACCTGTACCGTTTGTTCGTTGCTGAAAAACATGACAACCTCACTTGCCAACCATCATCGCCGCCGTCAAAAAGGGACAGTATGGTGAAAACAGCCCAATCGCCTGTGATGGGGGCTATGCATTAGGTCTTGGTTCCTGAGGTGCGGTCTGTTACAGCCGAGTGAAGGATTTTGGAGATGGAAGCAGCTGGCGTATACGCAATGCTTCAATCCAGTAGCCATTCGACGCAGATGCAGTTGACATCGCAAAGGCATTGAAAGTGAAACTGTCAGCATTGGTTTGGTTTATTCTCGCCATGCCGGGGCCTTTACCAGTGCCAAGCCTACATTGAGGGGATCGACGAGGATGCCGCCGCAGATTTCTTCCCATTCGCCCACGACGGACTGCGGCCCCCAAGGCCCGTTTCATTCCAATCTCGTCCGGCAGTTTCATCACGAGCAATTGGTCGCATTGTCTCCCAGGGCGATCGCTGAGCCATGGTACAGAAATACACGTGCGGGGGTCACCAACAACCCACACAGCAGCATGGCAAGGATCTGGCCCCTTGTTACTATTTTGACAACTGCACCATCCGTTCGCGCGTGGGGGGTGAGCAACAGGACTAGACAACGCACCCATCGCCAGTCCATTCTCTATCATGGGGGAGGGGGCTGTCTCCAACAGCACTCCGTTCTCGTTTGTCTAAATAAAAACTCCGAGACGCGGACAACCTCCCGCGCCAGCAACCAGCAACGAGCCAAGAGAGTCACAACGAGAGTGTTGAAACGTTCGACGCCAAGACCAGCGCGAGACAGCACAAAACACAAGCTTTTTTTGCTCATTTGTTTTTATCGCTCATTATACGGAGGCAGTGGCAGATCCCCATTACACGCTTGGCCTTGGCCTTGGCTACCGCAAATGATGTCCTCGTCGTCGCCCCTATCCCCTCTCCAACCCGATAATAGCCAAAACCCGCCAAGGTCAGCCAAGTGTCCCGGACCACTAGTTGACTGACGTCCGTGGCCGAGCCTCTATTTTCATTCCTCCGAAATAGACATGCCACTCTTCGCGAGCCATTGTTGATGGAGGAGAACGAAAGATGGGGGGGGAAGGGGAAGGGCGGCGCGAGGTCCAGGACATGTCTTCATCCTGTCGTGAAAGAAGTATATAATAGAGACGAACGCACAGTCTAACATCCCGTCTCTCTCCGCTATCCCATCATCAATCCAACAAGTCTCCAGCTTCGCACTCATCCGATCAGAAAACCTCGCTCAAACTCACCTACCTACTTCCTTCTTATCCACTACATCAGCAACCATGCGCGGCGTTCTCGTCACCTTCCTCGCCCTCGTCGCGGTCTCCGTCGCACAGGCTCCTGCCGAACCGTACACCGGTCCCTGCACCGACACCGCCTGCGGCGTCGAGAGCGAGGACTGCGAGGCCCAGGGCCGACAGTGCTTCCCCTTCCCCAACATCGCCCCGGCACTCCGCGAAGGCTGTGTGTGTGGCTCGGGCTAGATTTAGAAGCTGTACAAACACTCACGTACACACTGTGTTTTCGTAGGCGTAAGTATCGTCCTATCTTTTCTCTGCGGAACGTCGTCTCATCATCGGTCTAGGTTTTGGTTTTGAATTTGGCAGCGTCAAAGGCGCCAGGGGCCGCGGATTTCAACGTTTTTGCTTTCCAGCGGCCAGAGTTTTGTGTCCATGAGCGAATGGCTCTTTTTTTTCTTGAGCGAAATGATTCAGACAGCGTTTAAGATACTATCCTACAGTCAATAAACGAGCGAGGCACTTTGAAGCAGAGTGTTGGGCTTTTCTCCCCGTTGTGTGTTGCTAGATATGCTTGTGTGACCGCGCGCCATCCTAATATTCATCACCTAAACCGCATAAATATCACCGGCAGCTTACCTTGGGTCATCCGTGACCGCGCCAAGTCGCCAGCAAGCATGACGAAGTGCACAAGCGTGGTTCAGGCCCGGCTTGACCCGCTAGCCGTTCGAGTCAGTTTATATAAGAGAGCTTGCTAGTTGCCTGACGGACATCATACCAAGTCAAACTGCCCAGCCCGGAGCTGAAAGGGGTCGAGCTCTCAGGGAAGCTTGTGTTGGTCGGCTTAAGGGGTAACCCTGGTCGATTTCTTGCGCTCTTGCGCGGGGAGGTAGCCTCGGAGTTTAACAGCAATGACATGGACTAAAGGAGCGCGCTTTGCTTTGTGATGGTCCTCATTGCATGTTCTTTCTGCCCAGATCTGGGTCTCACTAAAGACACGGAGAAGAGTTCTCTACAGCCATTGTTCAGAGACTGGTTCTAATGACTTCATGTGTTATGTAAACTTGACTACGACCAGAAGACTGATATGAACTTTTAGGCGTGGACAAGAAGCTTATTGCGTGGTACACGTGGTGGAAGAGCGTTGCAAAAGTCGTCACACCTTTCGGTAATGCCATTCTCCATGGCATTTCGACAGCACCGAAAATTATCACCAATCTTTGCAGAGTATTGTGTTGTGGTATGTCTTGGTCTTTTGTTCTTCAAAATGGTCTTGTGCATTCAGCACAGGGCTGGCTCAAGACAGAGCGAGGGTTGAATTCAATATGGAAAGAGATAAGTTTCGCTTATTGTTGCGATGTTGACCATCGCCTGGATATCGGCAATATGGATTAACGCCAATCGGTCGGAATAACTACGGCCAATTCGCTGTGGATCCACTAGATCCACAGGGATATTACGCAGTAAATTTGCTACGTAATCCTATAATAGTTTTCCTTCTTTACGTATAATTTAGAACCAGTATTTACCCCTATTATTTATTACTACCTATTAATATATATAGTTAACTATATTACTATCCTAGTAAAACTAACACTAATTAGTAGTTAACTTTATAGTAACTACTACTATAAGATACTATAGATTAGTAAGGTAATATAAAAAAAGGTAATTCTTTACTATTAATTATTTATAAAGGCCTAAAGTAGGCTTTACTAAAAAATCTTTTTGTAAATACCTTTATAATAAGATTACACTACACGCCTATTATAAGTTAATTTATATTACCTAGTAGTTATATCCCCTTAATATAGTAAGAGTAGTATAAATTTATATTATTTATATAAGTAAATTAACTTTATTACTATATAAGAAGTCCCTTATCTAACTATAAAAAACACCTTACTTTATATACTAATTTACTATTAATTAGTAATTATTTACTTTTTACTTTTTTTTTATTATAAGCCTATAAAGCTTACTAACTTTCTCTTTTTTATATATTTTTTCTTATTTCTTTTTTAAATTATTTTATATTACTAATCAGAGAGTTAAAGAAAAATACAAAATATAATACAATACAAAAATACAATATAAATATAATACAATACAATATAAATACAATACATGTATTTATATTGTATTATATTAAGAAAAAAATACATGTATTTGTATTATATTATATTGTATTTTGTATTGTATTTTGTATTTAATATAACAATACAAGATATAAAATAAATATTAGTATTTTATAGTATAATTATACTTTTAGGACTTTATTATACTTAGTAATACTATATATTCTAATTATAAATACTATAAAATATATATATTAATATTTAATAAGAAATAAGTAAAGATTATTAGTATTATTAAATATAAGAGTAATAAACTGTATTTAAGTACTTTTATTTAGGTATTATATAACTATTTAATCTATATATAATTTAAATATTTTATATAGTAAAGCTTTACTTTAAACTATATAAGTAAGATAAGATTAGTATTTAAGTAATAATAAACTTCTTGTTATATATTAAGATCTTTTTTAATTAATAAAGACTATTTAAGTATATTTAGCTAATAATAACTTAATATAAATATATATAACTTAGTACTTAAATTCGTTTTAAATTCTAAATTTTCTAATTATGTTTTTCCTTTATACTACTAATTTCTTATTTTAAAAAAAAGTATTTAAATCTTATATTTAAGAGATTATTATATGTATTAACTTATTAAGAGTATTAAATATACTATCTAGATTATCTAAACTACTAGATTCTTACTATTTCTTTATAAGTATTAATCTTTTTCTAGTAGTATTAAACAAATTAGTTCTTCTTTTAGTATTAATATTACCAAATTAATTAAAGCTACTTTTTACTATAATAAGAGTAGAAGGTATAGCTAAGTATTAACTAGCTAATATAAATAATATAAGTAATTTCTTTATATTACTATTCTACTAGTCTATAGAATTTATATATATAATAGTTAGTAAGTATTATATTGTATTCTATAGATTAAAGTAGTAGTTTTATAATATCTTAGAGATTAAGTATTATAGTATTTAAAGTATTATATAGTATAATATATATAGAGAAGTATAAAGAAATATATAAAATATATCTTATATTATTAAGGTTAAGCTTAATAGAAAATAAAACTAAAATGTTTACTTTTAAATTACTCTTTTATTTAAGTAAGTAAACTACTAGCCCTACTAATTACCTAACTAGGTAACCTTTTATACTTATAAGACTTATAAGATTTAAAAACTTTCTAATTTCTTTCTTTTTATATATTATATAATATATTATATATATTATCCTATTAATATTATTTTATATTATAATATATAGTAGTATTAAAACTAGTTACCTAATATATATAAGCTCTATACTTTAGGTATTATAACCTTTTATCTTATTATAGTATTTAATATATATTTAATCTAAAATTATTTAATTTCTACTTTATATTTATACTTATTAAGAACTCTTTTTTTATATTATACTTTATAGTTATAATCTATACTTATGTTATCTTTATTTTTTATAACTAGAATATATTTATTATATATATTATATCTTATAGTTATATAGTGTATATTAGTTTCTATTAAGGTATAATTATACTTTAAAACTTTATATACTATATAGTTTATTCTTATTATAAACCTTATTTTACTTTTATTATTTATTAATATTAAATATACTTTATATAGCTAGTAACTACTTACTAATTACTATATATATAGCTTATAGTTATTTTAGTTTACTAAGTTCTTAATCTTTATTAACTTAACCTCTATTTAAGTCTTATTAGTTATTACTATACTATATTTAAGTTATTATTATATAACTTACTTTATTACTTTAGACTATAAGTATAATATTTAAATACTTTATTATTTCTAAGCTAGTAGTATATACTTTATCTAAT